TCAGTGTCAGGAGATCCCCCCCATTACTACACATCTACTATTCAGTGTCAGGAGATCCCCCCATTACTACACATCTACTATTCAGTGTAAGGAGATCCCCCATTACTACACATCTACTATTCAGTGTCAGGGATCCCCCATTACTACACATCTACTATTCAGTTTCAGGAGATCCCCCCCATTACTACACATCTATATTCTGTGTCAGGGGATCCCCCCATTACTACACATCTACTATTCAGTGTCAGGAGATCCCCCATTTCTGTACATCCACTATTCAGTGTCAGGAGATCCCCCCCATTACTATACATCTACTATTCAGTGTCAGGAGATCCCCCATTACTACACATCTCTACTATTCAGTTCAGGAGATCCCCCATTACTACACATCTACTATTCAGTTTCAGGAGATCCCCCCCATTACTACACATCTACTATTCTGTGTCAGGGGATCCCCCATTACTACACATCTACTGTTCAGTGTCAGGAGATCCCCCATTACTACTCATCTACTATTCAGTGTCAGGGGGTCCCCCATTACTATACATCTACTATTCAGTGTCAGGGGATTCCTCATTACTACACATCTACTATTTCAGTGTCAGGGGTTCCCCATTACTAAACATCTACTATTCAGTGTCAGGGGATCCCCATTACAATACATCTGCTATTCAGTGTCTGGAGATCCCCCATTACTACACATCTGCTATTCAGTGTCAGGAGATCCCCCCATTACTACACATCTACTAATCAGTGTCAGGAGAGCCCCATTACTACACATCTACTAATCAGTGTCAGGAGAGCCCCATTACTACACATCTACTATTCAGTGTCAGGAGATCCCCATTACTACACATCTATATTCAGTGTCAGGGGATCAGCCATTACTACACATCTACTATACAGTGTCAGGAGATCCCTCCACTACTACAGATCTACTATTCAGTGTCAGGGGATCCCCCATTACTACACATCTACTATTCAGTGTCAGGGAGTCTCCCCATTACTACACATCTACTATTCAGTGTCAGGAAAGGACTCACCGCTGGTTGCAGTATCGGGACATAGGAGCGGGTGCCTTTTCAGCAGCCATGATCTCACCTCCTGCAATCAAGTCATCAACTGAGATTGATTGTAGGTGTATTTAAACAGTAACCAGTCCTACAAGCAGGGCCTTGGTGTTTGCTCCCATGAGCCTCTGCTACCTGTTACCTGCTCTGTGTCCCATCTTCCTCTGCGTCCCATGCTTGATCTCCTGTGTATGATCCCGGCTAGCCTGACGACGCTTGATTGCTGTACTTATATATTGGGTGAAGGTTTTTGATTATTTGGGCTTTGTTTGCACTGTGCGGATTTGTATAATGTGTGTAACTTACAATACATTATATTATTTACATTGCTCCTGAAGCCTGATATTCCCTGTTTCAGTCCACACATCTCTGGTCATATCCGGGTTACTGACATAACACCAAGTCCTGACCAGAAGTGACTGCACAGGGAAGCCATCTTGGCTTATTGTTTGTGAAGGATGCATCCTGAGGAGGTTGTGATCTTTTCTTGGCTAGTAATAGAAGACAGAGAATATGGCTATCAGACTCTGAAGGAGTGGGCCAGGGATCAGCTGCTAGAGTGCAGGCAGGTTGCTCATTCCCTAGTAGATCAGGGCACAGAGTTCTCTGAGGTCCAGTCATTGATTCAGGTTGTGCTGAGTTGGCTTCATTCAGTACCCCTGAAAGCAGGAATTACTATTTTCTCCGCCATTCAGTACAGTTCAAAGTAGAGTCACTGTTCTGGTTATTGGAGGATAATCCGGATTGCTTATTTGAGCATTATCAGCAGCATGTTCACCACGTGCTTGTGGACTGTATAAACGCAGTGCAGTCTTTGGTCAGACAGGCTATGTGTAAGCTGAGCTTTGTTCAGCTGGTATTACAGACATGGTCAGATTTTTTACACCCAGTCTCAGTCAGCTTGGAACAACCCAGTCCCTTTCTAATCCATTTTCTCAAAGCTCTATTCCTCCATTCCCCACAGCACCCCCAGTTACAGCCCAGTATACCCTGCTATCAACCACATGTCAGTCCCCTGTTCCCACTCGCTGCACCTATCCTGCCTTTATCCCCGTCAAGAAGTCCTCTGTAGCAACTGCTCCCTCCTCTGTTCCATCCTCCAGCTCTTCTCTGTCTTCAGCTGCTCCGTCCATTTACAGCCCTGAATTTACTTGCAGTGCTTCAGTAACTAAACCCAAGAAGAAGCGAAAATTCTTTCCAACCAGTATCATCCTGCCAGTATCCAAATCGGCCAACCTGCTGTCTGAGAACCCGCCTTCTGTTATCCCACCTGCTGACCCGATGCCTGTCGTCCAGCCTGCTGACCCGGTGCCTGTCGTCCAGCCTGCTGACCCCATTATCCAACCTAATAATCCAGCGCCCGCTACTCAGCCTGATGACCCGGTGCCCGTTGTTCAGCCTGAGGAACCGATACCTGCCATTCAGCCTAATGATCCAGCGCACGCTACTCCGCTTGATAACCCGATGCCAGTTATTCAGACTGATGACCCGATGCCTGCTATCCAACTTGATGATCCGATGCCCGTTCAGCCTGAGGAACCGATGCCTGCCATTCGACCTGATGACCCGCTGCCCATTATGCAGCCTAATGATCTGGTCCCGCTATCCAGCCTGATGATCTGGTGACCGCTATCCAGCCTGATGATCTGGTGCCCCCGCTATCCAGCCTGATGATCTGGTGCCCGCTATCCAGCCTGATGATCTGGTGCCCACTATCCAGCCTGATGATCTGGTGCCCACTATCCAGCCTGATGCCCCGGTGCCCGTTATTCAGCCTGAGGAACCGATACCTGCCATTTGGCCTGATGACCTGCTGCCTAATGCCTGATGATCCAGCGCCCGCTACTCTGCCTGATGACCCGGTGCCGGCTATCCAGCCTGATGACCCGGAGCCGGCTATCCAGCCTGATGCCCTGGTGCCCGCTATCCTGCCTGATGCTCTGGTGCCCGCTATCCTGCCTGATGACCCCATGCCCGTTATCCTGCCTGATGACCCGATGCCCGCTGTTCAGCCTGATGACCCGATGCCCGCTGTTTCAGCCTGAGGAACCGATGCCCGCTGTTCAGCCTGAGGAAAACATTATCCAGCCTAATGATCCAGCGCCCGCTACTCCGCCTGAGGACCCGGTGCCGGCTGTATCCAGCCTGAGGACCCGGTGCCAGCTGTCCAGCCTGAGGACCCGGTGCCGGCTGTCCAGCCTGAGGACCCGGTGCCGGCTGTCCAGCCTGAGGAACCCATGCCCGTTGTTCAGCCTAATGATCCAGCGCCGGCTATCCAGCCTGAGGAACCCATGGTCCCCGTTGTTCAGCCTGAGGAACCCATGCCCGTTGTTCACACCTAATGATCCGGCGCCCGCTACTCCGCCTGATGATCCGATGCCTGTTGGTCCCGGTGCCTGCTACATCCAGCTTGATGTGCCTCTGCCCGCTGCCCAGCTTGATGTACCTCTGCCCAGCTTGATGTGCCTCTCTCAGGAGATCCCCCCATTACTACACATCTACTATTCAGTGTCAGGGGATCCCCCATTACTACTACACATCTACTATTCAGTGTCAGGGGATCTCCCATTACTACACATCTACTATTCAGTGTCAGGGGATCTCCCATTACTACACATCTACTAATTCAGTGTCAGGGATCCCCCCATTACTACACATCTACTATTCAGTGTCAGGGGATCCCCCATTACTACACATCTACTATTCAGTGTCAGGAGATCCCCCATTACTACACATCTACTATTCAGTGTCAGGGGATCCCCCCATTACTACACATCTACTATTCAGTGTCAGGGGATCCCCCCATTACTACACATCTACTATTCAGTGTCAGGGATCCCCCATTACTACACATCTACTATTCAGTGTCAGGGGATCCCCCATTACTACACATCTACTATTCAGTGTCAGGAGATCTCCCCATTACTACACATCTACTATTCAGTGTCAGGGGATCTCCATTACTACACATCTACTATTCAGTGTCAGGGGGATCCCCCATTACTACACATCTACTATTCAGTGTCAGGGGATCCCCATTACTACACATCTACTATTCAGTGTCAGGAGATCCCCCATTACTACACATCTACTATTCAGTGTCAGGGGATCTCCGTATTACTACACATCTACTATTCAGTGTCAGGGGATCCCCCATTACTACACATCTACTATTCAGTGTCAGGGGATCCCCCCGTTACTACACATCTACTATTCAGTGTCAGGGGATCCCCCATTACTACACATCTACTATTCAGTGTCAGGGGATCCCCCATTACTACACATCTACTATTCAGTGTCAGGGATCCCCCATTACTACACATCTACTATTCAGTGTCAGGGGATCTCCCCATTACTACACATCTACTATTCAGTGTCAGGGGATCCCCCCCCCATTACTACACATCTACTATTCAGTGTCAGGAGATCCCCCATTACTACACATCTACTATTCAGTGTCAGGGGATTCCCCATTACTACACATCTACTATTCAGTGTCAGGGGGGGATCCCCATTACTTCCTATGAGTACAGAGCTCTGATCAGCAGAGATAAATAGAATATCAGATACAATCCTCCCGTCCAATCACTAGCAATGCTGATTCCGGCCTCACACTGTCTGCTGATCCCATTCATGCTCCATACACAAGGAGATGATAGCACAATACGAGTCATGTCAGTGGTATTCTGTGCTCATCCTGTGTATGGAGATATCACCGTATCTACACATGGAGGACAATATTGGGGGGTCTACTCCATTATAACATTTGTCTTATAAAACTCTATTTCTTGGAGATTTATAAAGTGATCGAATATAAATGATTCCAATAAAGAGAAATGAGTTCCATCCATGTAGAGAATAGTTTTCCATTCATTCCTGGGGGGGGGGGGGGGGGGGGATTCATTTCCTTCTGGTAACATTCTTCTCTTCTACAGATTGTCCTCTAATCACCTGACAGACAGTTCCTGCCCCCACCTTGCATCTGGAATAAGAAATAACCCGACACTGAGGACACTGAACCTGTCTAGGAACAATCTGGAGGGTCCTCATTTCAGGGATCTGATGGCGGCTCTGACAACAAGCCGGATAGAGGAATTACAGTGAGTATAACAGGACACATGGAGGACAATATTGGGGGGCTACTCCATTAACAACATTTTTCTTATAAAATTCTATTTCCTAGAATTTATAAAGTGATCGAATATAAATGATTCCAATAAAGAGAAATTAATTCCATTCATTTCTGGGGGGGGGGGGGGGGGGGGGATTTACACTCTTCTAGTAACATTCTTCTCTTCTTCTGCAGATTGGATGATAATGACCTGACAGACATTTCCTGCCCCCACCTGGCATCTGGAATAAGAGATAACCCGACACTGAGGACGCTGAACCTGTCTGATAACAATCTGGAGGGTCCTCATTTCAGGGATCTGATGGCGGCTCTGACAACAAGCCGGATAGAGGAATTACAGTGAGTATAACAGGACTGACTGAGACAATCATATTCTGGGACAGATTAACATTCCAACTATTAAAAAATTCTAATATTGTAAACAAAATCGATCCAATTTTTAGACCTCCTAAGTAGCCAATTATGTACAGCTGTCTAACCTAGAACCTTATCACACTCTGTTATCAGCTATGAAATAGACTTTTTAAAAGTTTTTTATAAATGTCAAAATTAAATTTAGCCTGATATTTATTAAAATAGAAGAGGTATAGGAGGTCATACATACAGGACTCCGATCCGACTGCAATCAGTAATCAGTGCCCTGTACACATTGTGTGTTATTTGGCATGAACATCCATCCGTGTTTTAGGCAGGACATACAACCACGGGGTGAAGACATGGAAATTTCTTGATCCCCCATTACACAAACAGTGTTGATGGAAAATCCCTCATGCAGTTTCTATTATATTCTGCCGGCAGGGAGCACAGAGATCCTTCCCTACCAGCAGAATACAATGATCACTGATCGCGAGATTGACTTTGGTACAACAGCCTGCCCATAAATGGATGAAATTCGGCCATTTCCTGCTGAAATGGCCTCATTTCAATCCACCTTTGGCTGACTTTATGTCAGGGATCCCCCCATTTCTATACATCTACTATTCAGTGTCAGGGGATCCCCCCATTACTACACATCTACTATTCAGTGTCAGGGATCCCCCCATTACTACACATCTACTATTCAGTGTCAGGAGATCCCCCATTACTACACATCTACTATTACTACACATCTACTATTCAGTGTCAGGAGATCCCCCATTACTACACATCTACTATTCAGTGTCAGGGGATCCCCCATTACTACACATCTACTATTCAGTGTCAGGGATCCCCCCATTACTACACATCTACTATTCAGTGTCAGGGGATCCCCCATTACTACACATCTACTATTCAGTGTCAGGGATCCCCCATTACTACACATCTACTATTCAGTGTCGGGGGTCTCCCCATTACTTGCACATGATAAGAGCTCTGTACTCATTGCAAGTAGAGATAAATAGAATATCAGATACAATCCTCCCATCCAATCACTAGCAATGCTGATTCCGGCCTCACACTGTCTGCTGATCCCATTCATGCTCCATACACAAGGAGATGATAGCACAATACGAGTCATGTCAGTGGTATTCTGTGCTCATCCTGTGTATGTAGATATCACTGTCTCTACACATGGAGGACAATATTGGGGGGTCTACTCCATTTATAACATTTGTCTTATAAAATTCTATTTCCTGGAGATTTATAAAGTGATCGAATATAAATGATTCCAATAAAGAGAAATGAGTTCCATCCATGTAGAGAATAGTTCCATTCATTGCTGGGGGGGGGGGGGGGAATTCATTTTCTTTCTAGTAACATTCTTCTCTTCTTCTACAGTTTGGATGGTAATCACCTGACAGACAGTTCCTGCCCCCACCTGGCATCTGGAATAAGAAATAATCCGACACTGAGGACACTGGACCTGTCCGGGAACAATCTGGAGGGTCCTCATTTCAGGGATCTGATGGCGGCTCTGACAACAAGCCGGATAGAGGAATTACAGTGAGTATAACAGGACTGACTGAGACAATCATATTCTGGGACAGATTAACATTCCAACCTTGAAAAAAAAATCTAATAATGAATACAAATCTCATTTCTTTATCATACATCATGGGACACAGAGCATCTTCATTTCCATTATGATAAGGTTATGATGCCACCTTTAGGTGATTGGACACTGGCAAAAAAAAGTCCCCCTTCTAGGCATAACCCTTTCCCAGCAGGCAAGGTTTCCGTTTTTCTTTGTTTAGGCGATGGCAGTGTATGTCTGTTCAATCTCTGCATGAAAGAATATGATTCCAGCTGGAATTAGGAGACTTGCTTTTTGTAGATTTATTATCTATGGCTTTTGAATGCTAAGAAGAATGGTACTAAGACCCCCCACTGGACACATTGGGATGGAATGTAAGGTTTCCGATCAGCACTGGACACATGCGAAAACTGGACCCTGTGCAATGATATTTTGCATTGCTTATACTTTGCTATATAGGTCAAAATAAAGTTTCTCTGCTAGGTGTCGGAGTCCCCCTGAAAGCCATTAGTGGCAGAGCCCGCCATGCTCGGTGAAGAATGGACTCCCAGGGGCATGAAATAGAGGGTGTCTTGGCAGCAGCCTTGCTGGTAACCCCAATGACCTTCCCCCATGGGGCAGGACATGAGTGTGGGCCTCAGAAGTATTCTTTATTTTTTTAACTTATGCCTTGTCACGATCGCAGCCACCAACATGCGACAATCGCACGACCGTGACCAACAATAATACATCACACCCGCGGTGTCAGACCCCAGACCTTCTTCTCACCAAACTCGTGACCGAAGGACCGGACGATCTAAAACCGCAGTTTGACGCGCGTAACAGGCCCACACCCAGCTGCACCCTGCACAGCGATTGTCCAGCTAATAGGCTACAATCGGGCCTGCAGCCTGAATTATTTTACTGGGTCGGGTTAATTTACGCAACTAACCCTCTACTGCCACCAATACTTTTGTCGGAGACTGGAGAAAGTCCCATTATCAAATATACACTATAATGATTGAAAAGTCGCCTGTCATTACGGTCACCGCAGGCCGATTGGGCAGAGGATTAAACAAACGCAGTAGCGTCTCTTCAAAGGCAGGAATTCGTGAACTGCAAGTAAGCGCTTAGAAACAGTTTAACACTTTCAGAAAGAAAGATTTATTACTAAAAGCGTCAAACAGGTGCAATAAAATATTTACAAAGAAAATGTAACTAGTATATAATATAAATATATATATTATATATGACCCACAACACAGCAAAGAGATAATAGGAAGGAAGTTAAGGATTAAGTTACTTGCCAGTATGCCTTGGTTTGTAAGCAGATCCTGTTGCAGAGCAGGAAGGGTCTTTGATCTCCCTCTAATAATGAACAAATCTAATTTAAGATCAGGAGATCTGCTTTGCTTACTTAGGCTTGTCAGCCATGTCTTTTTAAAATCCCTCTGCAAAGGGGGGGGGGGGGGATTGGACACTGGCAAAAAAAACACTGGCCACTACGCTGTTTTGGGAGGGGTCAGTTGGGCGAACTCTTTAGAGCCAACATCTGTCATAATCTGCAGGAAAGATGAAACATCGGGGAAAAGCCTGACTTGAGTAATGTTCATTTCACTCTGTCATCTTTGACTGTTAGAAGAATGGTGAGGTTACAATCTCTTTCAATTCCTGGTAGAAGCTGCCTTTTCTGTTTTATGATGGTTGAGTCTACACCAGTTTCTCGGGTCAGTGCTTCCCAATTCACTGAGAAATGCTGGCCTTATCAGGACTTAGGTGAGGGATACACTATCGCAGACTGCTAGGCACCAAACTAAAGCCTTAACCTGCGGTTGACCCCCCCTAACCAGCACACACCATGCTGACACTGGGCCTGTCAGGGGCAGGGAAATGAGGGTGTCTTGGCATACCTGCTGGTAATAGAAAAGGGGACCTTTCCGGGGCAGGACATGAGTGTGGGCCTCTGATGTAGCCTTTATTTTTTTAACTTATGCCTCACTTGTGGGTTCTGTGTAGCTTCTCTGTGTGCCCCAGGTGCTACATAGCTCAAGCAGAGTTTAGAACCAGTCTGGGAGGCTCTAGCAGGCTCTAGGTGCCTAAAAGGTACCCAGAACCCTGTTGCTTTATTGCTCAGTGCCCTCTTGGCTGAGTTGGACTGCTGTTCTCAGCAAGGATCCCTACAAACATGTCAGCAGGCCATGTCTTACCAATGGAAAGTGTAGGTGGTAAGGGTTCCAATACCTTCTTCAGGCAAGGAGGAACCTCCTGGGCAAGGCCCCACTTATAATGAATTCTCTGGGGGTCAGTTTGTTCTATGCAGCTTTGATCCCTCCTCCTATGTGGTAAATCTGCTACTTCTGGGGTACCGTCCTCCAGTTCCTTTGTGACAAGGGAGGAATTGCTGTGGTACAGCAGCAGCTTTCCGAATTCATGCTGGCATGGACCGCTTTGGTTACAAATGGAAGCATTCCCATTCTCCTCCATCCCGGTTAACAGAAGGAATAGGTAAAGGATGTGAGGTAGAGGAAGATAATAATGTTCCTCTAGAAGGGGATGCAGAAGAACCTTTGTCCAAGGAATCTACTCCTGAAGAACTCCAGGGTCATATCTCAAATCTAAAAGATTGTGAGCTTTCTCATGGAAGTTGTCCAGGTTGCTTTAAAGTTACTGCTTCCCGAGTATTCTTTCAGTCAATCCCAGTTTCTTACTTTTACAAGACCCTCATGTGCCCAGTGGATGAGGTCCCAGTATTTAAGAATGCCTAGGAAAAATATCTGGAGGCTTTATCCAAGGCCTCATATGGGCTGATAGGAGCAACTTTACATCTAGCAAATATGGCTGTTGGCGTGTGTCAAAGCCTCAAAGTCTGGCCTTGCCACATGACAGCAGAGAGGGATTCTACTAGTGGAGATACTGAATCAGGCAGAAACCTGGAGGCTTTCCACATGTTCTTAGCTGCACAGTGGATATCCTAAAGGACTCTATACAGCAACTTTCACATCCCTGGGTCTTATCCATGCATGTGTGCAGGATCTTATAGCTGAAATGTTGGTCAGTGGAATTGCCCTGCTACTTTTGGGGCACCTTCCTCCACTTCCTTTGTGACAAGGGAGGAATTCTCATTTATTATTATTGGAGTACATCAGAAGCTTTCCAGAATTCCTGCTGGCTTTGACCACCTTGGTCACAAAACATTCCCCCTTTCCTCCGCACTCCCTGGTAGTGGAGGAGGAACCAGTGGAGGAGGACAAGGTAGAGGAAAATGAGTATGTGCTGGTAGAGTTGGACACAGAAGAATCCTCATCTGAGAAATGTACTCCTAAAGGACTCCAGGGTCAAAGTTTATCTCAGACCCAAATGGCATTTGTGAGTTTTGAGAGTTCTTTGAGAGAAATTGGTACTCTGACATTGTGAACATGTGAGGTCAACCCTTAAAAGCTTGTGGATGGCCCAACCTTCTGTCGCAAGATATGATCTTCAATCCTTCTTTACAGTTGCTGGCTTTACTGGCATGGCTGTTGAAGCCAGGATCTTCACAGACAGGGAAGTCTCTGATTTCACTATTCCTACCTTACTGAAGGCTCAGAAGGCAACTTCATGGAAGATTACCAAAAAACTTGGAAATCTTATTTTGCTTTGTGTGAGGCTAGAAGATTTTATCCTCACAAGTATGTCGTGGTCACATCCTGACTTTTATCCAATCTGGAAGTGATCTGTGACTGACCGTGAGTACGCTCAAGATTCAGATATCAGCCTTGGTGGTCTTTTTCCAGAGACAGAAGTGGTTCAGAAGCAGGGTTCAAAAGTGTGCTACATACAGAGTTCAGGGCTCAGGAGTGTGCTACGTACAGAGTTCAGGGCCCAGGAGTGTGCTACGTACAGAGTTCAGGGCTCAGGAGTGTGCTACGTACAGAGTTCGGGGCTCAGAAGTGTGCTACTTACACCACGGTGCAGGGCTCAGGAGTGGGCTACGTGCACGGTGCAGGGCTCAGGAGTGGGCTACGTGCACGGTGCAGGGCTCAGGAGTGGGCTACGTGCACGGTGCAGGGCTCAGGAGTGGGCTACGTGCACGGTGCAGGGCTCAGGAGTGGGCTACGTGCACGGTGCAGGGCTCAGGAGTGGGCTACGTGCACGGTGCAGGGCTCAGGAGTGGGCTACGTGCACGGTGCAGGGCTCAGGAGTGGGCTACGTGCACGGTGCAGGGCTCAGGAGTGGGCTACGTGCACGGTGCAGGGCTCAAGAGTGGGCTACGTGCACGGTGAAGGGCTCAGGAGTGGGCTACGTGCACGGTGCAGGGCTCAAGAGTGGGCTACGTGCACGGTGAAGGGCTCAGGAGTGGGCTACGTGCACGGTGCAGGGCTCAGGAGCGGGCTACGTGCACGGTGCAGGGCTCAGGAGCGGGCTACGTGCACGGTGCAGGGCTCAGGAGCGGGCTACGTGCACGGTGCAGGGCTCAGGAGTGGGCTACGTGCACGGTGCAGGGCTCAGGAGTGGGCTACGTGCACGGTGCAGGGCTCAGGAGTGGGCTACGTGCACGGTGCAGGGCTCAGGAGTGGGCTACGTGCACGGTGCAGGGCTCAAGAGTGGGCTACGTGCACGGTGAAGGGCTCAGGAGTGGGCTACGTGCACGGTGCAGGGCTCAGGAGCGGGCTACGTGCACGGGTGCAGGGCTCAGGAGTGGGCTACGTGCACGGTGCAGGGCTCAGGAGTGGGCTACGTGCACGGTGCAGGGCTCAGGAGTGGGCTACATACAGAGTGCAGGGTTCAGATGTGCGAGTAACCCCGCTGCCACTCTGCATGTTGCGTGGGATGACTAGGATGTGCCTAGGCACCAGTTCACATGTCTGATAGTTACATTCATAACTGGGGGACAATTTTTTTTTTCTAGTAACATTCTTCTCTTCACCTACAGTCTGGATAATAATCAGCTGACACACAGATCCTGCCCCCACCTGGCATCTGGAATAAGAAATAACCCAACACTGAGGACACTGAACCTGTCTGGGAACATGCTGGAGGGTCCTCATTTCAGGGATCTGACGGCAGTTCTGACAACAAGCCAGATAGACGAATTACAGTGAGTATAACAGGACTGACTGAGACAATCATATTCTGGGAGAGTTTATTATCCCAGCCATGAAAAAACCTAATTATTTTAAACAAAAGTGATCAAATTTTACTCATGAAATTATATTAACTGGAGTTTTATAAAGTGACCTAATATTCATGTAGAGAATAATTACATTCATTCCTGGGAAAGAAATTCATTTCTTCTGAGAGCATTCTCCTCTTCTTCTACAGATTGGATGATAATCACCTGACAGACAGTTCCTGCCCCCATTACAGTGAGTATAACAGGACTGACTGAGACAATCATATTCTGCGACAAATACACTATATGCCAAAAGTATTGCAGCCCCCCTCCAAATCATTGGTTTCAGGTGTTCCTGTCAGGGCTCCGGGTATGACCAGAGGTATGTGAACTGACGCAGGCTTCAGATATGTATAAAAACAATATAATTTTATTAATACTAACAATACATAAACGCAGTGCAATACTAAAACATAAACACAGTGCAAATGAACCAAACCACCCACAGATAACAATACATACAATGCAAGCGTAGTCAGGCAGGCCGGGTCAATAACAATTGGGCAGGTAGGAAACAGGAGGAGCAGGCAGAGAGTAGTCAGGTCACGAGCCGGGTACAGCAACTAGCGGGCAGGTAGGTACAGGGGGTCAGGCAGGGGGACAATGGTCGGGGTCACAAGCCAGGGAACAAACAGGAGAAGTCAGCAGAGGTCCGGATCAGGACGAGGGTCGGCAAACAAATCAGTCAGACAGGAACAGGAACAGGAATGCAGGTAACAAGATACAGGGGCCCATGGCCCAAAAAACACACACCAAGCCACAGACTGCAGGTCTGGCCATCCCTTAAATACACCTGCAATCAGCCTCAGTGTTTTGGCTGACTGCAGGGTTGAGTCTCTGATTGCTGAGAGCACCCGCTGGCCAGCCCTGGTACTGCAGCCCCACAAGGCAGGTGAGTCCCACCATTATTGGCAAGTCCATTCCTGACAGTTCCAATCACCTCTATTGTCCCAGGTGTATACAATAAAGCCCCTAGGCATGCAGACTGCTTCTACAAACATTGGTGAAAGAATGGGTCGTTCTCAGGAGCTCAGTGACTCCAAGCGTGTGGTGCTTTGATAGGTTTCCACCTGTGCAATAAGTCCATCCGTGACATTTCCTGGCTACTAAATATTCCACGCTCAACTGTTAGTGGGATTATAACAAAGTGGAAGCAACTGGGAACAGCCACTCAGCCACCAAGTTGTAGGCCAGGAGAATGGTACTTTGCCTGACTGCATTGTGCCAAGTGTAAAGTTTGGTGGAGGGGGATTATGTGTGGGGGGTGTTTTTCAGGGGTTGGGCTTGGCCCCCTAGTTTCAGTGAAAAGAACTCTTAAGGCGACAATTTCATGCCCCCAACTTTGTGAGAAGAGTTTGGGAATGGCCCCTTCCTGTTCCAACATGACTGCACACCAGTGCACAAAGCAAAGCCCATAAAGACATGGATGAGCCAGTTTGGGGTGGAGGAACTTGACTGGCCTGCACAGAGTCCTGACCTCAACCCCATAGAACACCTTTGGGATGAATTAGAGCGGAGACTGCCAGCCAGGCCTCCTCCCCCGACATCAGTGCCTGACCTGACAAATGTGCTTCTGGAAGAATGGGTCCAACCTTCCCATAGACACCCTCCTAAAAAACCTTGTGCACGGCATTCCCAGAAGAGCTACGGACTAAGACTGGGGGGCCATTAAAGGTCATGTTTGTGTAAAGGCAGACGGCCCAATACGTTTTTGGCTATATAGTGTATCCAAAACTGGTAAATTTCCAATTGTTGTAATAGTGACTTATTTCTTTTTGAGGCCTCTGTGCCTGGTCTGAATGGAGCAGACCATCACTACAGACAGTCTTCATCAGATAGGTGCACTCACCAAACACTTGGCATCCAAGAATATCTTTTTTGCATGTAGAAGGTTCAGACTAAAAAGTGATGTTTCCTTACACCTCAGTGTGTGCCTTGCAGGAATAATAGCAGGGAATTATAGTGAGCAAAGAAGAAATTACATCACACAAGAGGGAAGGATACAAAAAAAATTGTACAATAATGAAGTGCAAAATTAATCACAGTATGTGGAAAATACATACAAATACACCCTGTTCCAAATTATTATGCAAATTCTATTTAAGTGTCACAAAGATGAAATATTTTGTTTTTCAGTGTAACTCATGGATGGCATTGTGTGTCAGGGCTCTTTTGATCACTGAAAAACAATCTTGGACACCTGTGATAATTAGATTGGCCGGTGAGCCCAAATTAAGGAAAAACTACTAAAGGACGGTGTTCCACATTATTTAAGCAGAGCACCATTTTCAAGCAATATGTAGAAGAAAAAGGATCTCTCTGCTGCCGAAAAGAGTGAAATAGTTCCATGCCTTGGACTAGGTATGAAAACATTCGATATTTCATGAAAACTTAAGCGTGATTATCGCACTATGAAGAGATTTGTGGCTGATTCAGAGCACAGACGGGTTGGTGCAGATAAAGGCACATTGAGGAAGATTTCTGCCAGATCCATGCATCGGATCAAGAGAGCAGCTGCTAAAATACCATTACATAGCAGCAAACAGATATTTGAAGCTAAAATAAAAGTGCAGCGCTAGGAAAATATATAAATGTCACAATCAATATAAGTGATCAAAAAAAGTCCCAACAATGGTGACCTAGGGTAACAATGCACACCAACCAGAAGTGCACATTATAAGTGCAATGTAGCCAGGATGGAGTTCATAGAGTAGTCATCAGCATGAGAAGGATAGATGTATTCCCTTGGTCAGAGAAGATCCTCACGATGGTACAGAGCTGGACATAAGAAACGATCACTGTTCCACCAAAAGAGCACTATTCCTCCACTGTGCAAAAACGATATCTGGGAGAAAAGGTACTCCCCACAGGGGATCAAGAAAAAATGCCCATAGTGAAGTAAAGTTAAAACAAATTTATTAAGATTAACAGGATGCATCCAGAAATGGCATAAAATAGACAGACAGGGACTAACCGTCTTGTCAGATGTGATGGCCGCCGGAGCTCCACGATGCTCCGACGGCGTGACGTCAAGGCGTGCGTAGGCTCCTCCTTACGCGTTATGTGCCAAGCACATCTTCAGAGAAAGAACCAGATATTTGAAGCTGCTGGTGCCTCTGGAGTCCCACGGACATCAAGGTGTAGAGTCCTCCAGAGTCTTGCAACTGTGCATAAACCTTCTATTCGGCCACCACTAACCAATGCTCACAAACAGAAACTGCTGCATTGGGCAGAAAAATACATGAAGACTCATTTTCAAACAGTCCTGTTCACTGATGGGTGCCGTGCAACCCTGGGTGGTCCAGATGGATGGAGTAGTGGATGGTTGGTGGACGGCCACCCTGTTCCAACAAGGCTGCGACATCAGCAAGGCGGTGGTGGAGTCATGTTTTGGGCCACAATCATGGGAACAGAGCTGGTCGGCCCCTTTATGGTCCCTGAAGGTGTAAAGATGACCTCTGCAAAGTATGTGGAGTTTATGACTGACCACTTTCTTCCCTGGTACAGAAGGAAGAACTATGCTTTCCGTAATAAAATCATCTTCATGCATGACAATACACCATCTCATGCTGCAAAGAATACCTCTGCATCATTGGCTGCTATGGGGATAAAAGGAGGAGAAAGTCATGGTGTGGCCTCCATCCTCCCCTGACCTCAGTCCTATTGAGAACCTTTGGAGCATCCTCAAGCAAAAGATCTATGAGGGTGGGAGGCAGTTTACATCCAAAGAGCAACTCTGGGAGGCTATTCTGACATCTTGCAAACAAATTCAAGCAGAAACTGTCCAAAAACTCCCAAGTTCAATGGATGCAAGACTTGTGATCTGCTATCAGATAAGGGCTCCTATGTTACAATGTAACGTGACCTGTTAAAAAGTTTGATTGAAATAGCTTTTGATTTCAGTAAATATGCTGCAAACACAACAAATGACAATTTTCAGTTCTTTACAACCTATAAAAAGTGTTTTGAAACTTACTGTACGTAATAATTTGGAAAAAAAATCCTGTTATGAGGAGGTTTGTTCAATAAAATGTGAATTGTCTCTTAATAGTTGATAACATGAGAATTATGCTGACTGTTATTTACATCAGTTATTTAGGTAAATGAGAAAAAATATCATTTGCATAATAATTTGGAACACGGTGTAAATTACTTTGTCAATATAATTGCTTGAGCAGAACAGCAAATAAAATACCTTGAGAAGCACATATTAAAAAAAGCGCACATCACTTAAAAGCCTTTTATGAAACATTTATTGCTTAAGAACTTCAAATACAGCCAACGTGTTTTCAGGCCTCTTGGTTCTTCAGGCCTTGAGCAGTGGATCATGATGAGATGTCATGGAAGACCTAAAGTATGTTGGGTTTGATAAAGACTGTCGTCATTTAAATGCACTGTGAACTGCTGGCCGAGTTTCTCAGTTATTTCACATTGTGGTTAAGAATTGGACCCGTCATGCCTCCTCTGCACTCCACCAGCTAGATCAAGTACAGACTGTACTTGATTGGCTCTATTCCCTGTGACATACTTTGAGATACCTTGAGATTCCAGGTTCATTGCTTCTAGGGAGGATAGAGACACTAATGTTTTTGTCTTCCCTCCACTCACATCCTGACAGCACCCATGGAGGGTGTGATGGACCACCTGGCACCTCTCCCAGGTGCCTCCATCAGATGGCTGCTTCCTCACCGCTGGGAACACAGGAACAAGATATTATAGCTGGGCATTGCACCCAAGAACAACCAGACACTAGCTTAGGTGCAAACAGGAACTACTTTATTTTTATAAAAATCTACTAGCATTCTGAGATTGTTTGGAATATCAATTTCCCTAAAATCCTGGATGTCATATCTCCACCACTCAGCTGTACTTCTAAAGTTCGGATCTTCTGGATTCTCTCAAGTAATAGTTCTGGACCATCAAAATCATAGCCCTCCATGGGCGTATCATCCTTCAGTCATGGACAAACTTGGGAAATATACCAATTAAGCACTCTGTGTCCTTCACCCAACATCATCTTGAGGCAGACCAGATGTTCCAATCAGGTCACCCATTCTTCCTGGGGTTGCCTCCCAGGAAGGACATCCGTAAGTCCCATTGGAGACAGTATAGCTCCTCCGGGGTAGCAAGATCCTTTCCACAATGCTCCTGTTCCAACTGCAGCGCTTCTTTCCATAGTTTCCGACAAATGACATCCCTCCATACCAGTGCATCCTGTACAGAA